TAGAGCTTATTATTTAATTTTAATTTAATTTAAATCTAATTTAATTTAACTTAAGCTTGTTCAAGCCTAAAATTCCTCTAAGACTTTGGGTACATCATATATAAATGGCAAGTATTATTATTCCAGGGGCAGCTAGGTGGCACAGTAGATAGAGCACCAGGCCTGGAGTCAGAAAAACTCATCTTCCTGAGTTCAAATCTGGCCTCAGACACTTCCTAGCTAGGTGACCTTGGGCAAGTCACTTCACCCTATTTGCCTCAGTTTTCTCATCTGTAAAATGAGCTGGAGAAAGAAATGGCAAACCACTCCAGTATCTCTGCCAAGAAAACCCCAAATGGGGTCACGAGGAGTTGGATACAACCGAACAACAACATTATTATTCTATTGTCATTATCACCTACCTTATGGAGTTGTTGTTACACCTGGTCTATCTCATGTCCCTTTTAATCAATCACTCAACCAACAAACATTTACAAAGCACCTACTATGTGCCAGGCACTGTGCTAAGGATACAATAATTGAAGACACTTCCTAGATATGAACAACATAAATACAAGATGGTGGACAGCGGGATCAGCACGTGGGAGAATAAGGAAAGGTGTCATGCTAAAGATGGCATTTGAGAAATAAGGGAGACTAAGAACTCTAAAATAGTGGAAATATTTGATTCTAGAGGTGATGGGAGCCATTGACGTTTCTTGAGTAGGGGGTTAAAATAATCAGACCCACATTTCATGAAAATCACTTTGGCGCTTGTGTGGAGGATGGATTGGGGTGAGACCAGTTAGAAAGCTAGTGAAATAGTCTGTTCAAGAGGTGATGAATGAGGGAAGTGGAGAGAGAAAAGGAGATGGATGTGAGAGATATGGGGAGACAGTTGGTGACTGATTAGCTATGGGGATCTAATCCTTTGCACAGGATAGAATGGATCTCCCCCTTTTCACCTCTACCCCTTAGGATGCTTAGTTTCTTTCAAAGCTCAGTTCAAGCACCACTGCCTATATGAAATGGATCTCCAGTTACTAGGTCCTTCTTACATGCCAAATTCATATATATAGATATATATAGCCATTGGGTTGAAGCCTATCTCTGACATTTACTAACTGTAGATATATATAGCCATTGGGTTGAAGCCTACCTCTGACATTTACTAACTGAGGCAAACCTTTGTTTGCCTCAGTTTCTTCATTTGTACAATGGGGATAATAACAGCACCCACCTTATAGGTTTGTTGTGAGTCTCAAACAAAATAATGGATATAATATTCTTGGTAAGCCTTAAGGAGGAAAAGGGAAGGGTTTAAGCATTTATTTTTTTAATAACTTTATTTGTTTTTAGTTTTCAACATTCACTTCTTTAAGATTTTGAGTTCTAAATTTTCTCCCCCTCCCTCTGCTCTCCCCTCCTCAAGATGGCATTTAATCTGATATAGGCTATTCATGTAAAATCATACTAAACATTTTTCCACACTAATCATGTTGTAAAGAAGAATTAGAACCAAAGGAAAAAGCCACAAGAAAGAAGAAACAAAAAAAAAGAGAGAGAGATAGAGAAAATAGCATGCTTCGATCTTAAGCATTTATATAGCACCTACTAAGTGCCAGGCACTTACTAGCTGTGTGACCCTGGGCAAGTCATTTCATCTCGTGTGCCTCAGTTTCCTCATCTGTAAAAAAAATGAGCAGGAGAAGGAAATGGCAAACCATTCCCATATCTTTGCCAAGAAAGTTCTAAATGGGGTCACAAAGAGTTGGACATGACTGAAAAACAACAACAAACGTTCCAGGAACTGCTAAGCGCTTTACAAATATTTTCTGATTTGATTCTCACAGCAACCTGGGGAGGTAGATGCCATTATTATCTCCATTTTATAGTTGAGGGAATTGAGGCAAATAGAGATAAAGTGATTTGCCCAGGATCACACAACCAGTAAATGTCTTAGGCTGAATTTGAAGTCAGATCTTCCTGACCAGTGCTGTATCCACTGAGCTGCCTAGCTGCTTTGGGGGCCATCTCTAGTCATCCTGATCTACATCTTGCCACCAGACCCACATAGCTCTGGAGGAGAAAGTGAGGCTTGGTAACTTTGCACAGCCCTGCCTCATTTAAATCCAATTCACTTGCAAGTCATGGCATCACCTTGCTGATGTCATGGTCCTCTTTGAGAACAAAGGACAAACAATAAAAACCACCTCAATGCTTTAAATGCTATGTAAATGTCAGCTTATTAAGTATAATACAAATTTCACCTCTCATTATTATTTTAATTATTGGTATTGGGAGGGGAAGAGTTGCCAGACCTGTGATTTCGTCATAGAGAATTCACAATAACGAAACTCCCTCCACCAATGCTGATGAGCACCTGCTCTGTTACCTATATAGACAGACCTTCCCTAACGTACTGACTTAGGTTGGGTCTCACAGCCATGATGGCGGCAGGATTTGAAATGAGGTCTTCTAAGTCCAAAGCCCTATGCTTCCTCTATATGGTTATGACTATTATAGTTGGTGTATTATAATTGCTTTTGATACTGTTATGGGTGTGGGAGTGTTTGGGTCCACCCAAGGAACTATGTGGTGGCCTTGTTCTATCCATGCTGTTATTCTTATCACAGAAGGTAAGCTTGAACTTTTATTTTTGGTCTTTGCGCTTAGCACAGTGTCTGACACATAGCAGGTATTTAATAAATACTCATTAATTGGATTTGTTTTGTATATACTCATATGCATGCACATTGTCTTTCCCCAATAGAATGTCTTTGTTTTCACTTGATTTTGAATCTATAGATTTTATCATGGTGCCTGGCATACAGCAGGCACTTAATAGATGCTGGGTTCCTTGATTGTTAATTGATTCTATTTCTGAGAGAAAAGGGCTCTAGAGCTAAGACTGACCACACACACACACACAGCCAGACCAACAGACAGACAGACACACACACATACACGTGCACACGTGTGAGCACCACACAACTTAGAATTTTGCCAGCCCCCTTCAGCCAGACATTTGCTGGTAAATCCTGGACCACACGCCAAGCCCGTCCCAAGAGACGCATCAATAATGACAGGAAGGGGAGTAATTGAGTTCAGAGCTCTCTGATGTTTGTGTTTGACCGGCTGCCTCCTCTGGCAGCTGCTGGGGAAAACACAGCTCTGAGAAGCTGGCTCTCCCAATCCAGACAGCCCTGAGACAGCAAAGAGCAAAGTGCTGGGAGCAATAGCACAGACGTCGTGTGCTCCTTGGAAGAGAAAGCCACCTGGTGCTGAATTCCTCTGGCAGCCTTCCCTGCTGCCTTCCTCTCCATGCCTCTCCCGCTCACCTCCGCTACTGCCCCTGCCCCTGCCTGATCCCTTATCACCTGAGAGAGCTTCGCCTCCCCAGAACCCCCAGTGGAGAGAATTACAAGACAAGATAATGGGCTGGAGATTCAGAGGAGGGACCTTGGCTCTTCTGTGCTGGGCAGCCTCTCTCCATGTCATTTACATAGGAAAGTAGGCAAAAGGCAAGACCTGGGATCTCCCAAAGGGGATGAGGTTTGCTGGTTGCTCCCCAAACACTCTCCCAGCTCTGCACCCCATAAGGTCATCACCTGTCCCCATCAGCCTCTAATCTGGGGTCTCTCCAAAGCCCCAACGTCACAGGAAACCAAAATGTCCTTCCTTCACCTATCAAGAGGGGCTATAGCATTAGAGAATCACAGAGCTAGAGTTGGAAGGGTCCCCAGAGCCCATCTAGTCCAATGCCCTCATTTTACAGATGGGACAACTGAGGCTGAGCAAGATAAAGTTTATTAGGATTAGAGGACCTCAGATTTCAGAGCTGAAAGGGGCCTTGGAGATAATTTAGTTCAACTGGATAAGGAAACTGAGGCACAGAGAGAAAAAGCGACTTGTCCACATAGCCAAGTGTATCAATACACACAGAACAGAAGTGAAATGGGAACCCAGGTCCCCTAACTCCAAAGCCGTCATTGTTTCCACCTCAGCACGCTAGCAAACACCAACCAAATATCAGAACCTTAAGCTCAGAAGGGACCGTGGAAGCCGTGGAGTTAACAAGATTCTTTTTGACATCATCCCCACTGAGTGTTCCCTCAGTCTCTTCCTGAAGACCTCCAGGGAAAGAAAGCTCAGCAAATCCCACTGAATCTCAGCACATCACAGTTGAGAGGGACCTCTACAGTCATCTCATCCAATCTAGACCCCGAAGGACTCTCAACAGCAAAGTGTCTGACAAGTAGGCATCGAGCCATCTCTTGAAACCCTTCGGTAAAGAAGAAGCCACTCAGCTCCTCAGGCATAAAATATATTATAAGTTATATTGTAATATAGAAGTATAAATACAAACAAAAATAGAAATAGAACATAAAAATTATGTAAAATATATAAAAATTATAATAGCTAACATTTCCATAGTGCCTACTATGTGCCAGGCACTATGCTTCACAATTTTTTTTATCATTCGATCCTTACAACAACCCTGGGAGGTAGGTGCTATTATTACCCCCATTTTACAGATGGGGAAACTGAGGCAAATGGGCTAAATGACTTGCCCATTGCACATCAAACAGTTCTACTAGTTAGAAATCTGTTCCTCTTAAATCTTCCCACCTCTCAATTCATTCCTTTGGGTCTAGCAGCTTCGAGGCGGAGGGAACGGCTGTCCGGGCTAACTGCTCTCATCATAAGCTCCCTATGACGTTAGGCTTCTCAGCTGTGGGGCTGAGACGGGACTTTCTTTCTCCCCCTCCCTGCCCCGCCGCCCCAAACAGCTGCTGAGGCAGAAGTACTGAATCAAAGCTAAACTGGGCGACAGACAAGTCTGTAACTCAGATCCGATAATGCTTCACTCGCTCAGACGATGCTAAAGTTCCCAACTCCATCCTGACCCCTCCTCCTTGTCCAGGGATGCCCGAGAGAGGCACCAGTGGAAGGGAGGGGACGCAGACGAAGAGATCAAAAGCAAGAGATGAAGAAGGGGAAGGGGGGAATGAACTCACTGTCCAAGTGGCCGACTTGGCGGTGCTGGACTGCTGGAAAGTGACCTCAAAGTGATGGGGGCCGGGGTAGTCCGTGTTGGAAGGGATGACAGGCGCAGGGGACATGGTGTCAAACGTCGAGCTGGGCTGGGAGTAGGGAGAGTGTGTCGGGACGCTGGCGGAGTGCTCTGGATTGTAGGGGCTGGTGGAGGCCGCGCGGCTGCTGCTGTTCTGATCCATGGTGTTGGTGAGCAGATTAAACTGGGACTGGAGAAGGAAAAAGGGGGAGGAGGGAAGGGGGGGTGGTGAAAAAAACACACACACAGTCAGTTTAGGAGAAATGGAAACATCAGCTACCCTTCTTCGGGACCAGAGGTGTCCTGTTACAGACTTCTTAAAGGGCCAGCCAACCTCAAGTCATCCCAAATACTTCCTTGGGTCTCTCCCCACCTCCCTAGCCCTCCCCCCTCCCCATCCAACAGGTCACCACTTGCACGAAGGGATAAACTGACATGTTCACCTCACCCACTCTATCAGCCTTCCCAGGTGCCAAGTTTTCGGGAAATCTAACCAAGCATTTAACAGGGTGGAAGAGATGAGACCAAAGGAAAAAAAAAAAAGGGCAAATGCTTTGCTAGCTCTGAGGGGAATTGTCTGGTGAGCACAACATCCCCGTCCCCTTCCGTTATCTCTCCTCTTCTCCAGAGCGGCCAGAAGCTAGGTATCAGCAGCCTGGATCTCCCACTTCCTCCCCCTCCTTCCACTGCCCCTCTCTTCAAGAAGCCCAAGGCACGAGGCGAATGCTGCCTAGCGGGGACCCCTGTCACCCCAGGGTGGGGATGGAGTGCAACGGATCAGTATGCCCATTTGATAGATGGTGAGAAAAAAAGTGTTCAGAGAAGTTGGCCTGAGGTCAGCCAACAAGCTAATGGCAAAACCTGTGGACTAGACCTCAGGCATCTTGACCAATACACATTAGGCAGAAGGGACCTCAGAGGTCACCTAATCCAACCCCCTCATTTTCACAGATGAAGAAACCAAGCCCCAGAGAGGTTCTGAGTCTTGCATAAAGTCACACAGGAAGGATGCCTCAGAAGAGGGATCTGAACCCAGGTCTTCAGACTCCCATGCTCTGAGGTGTCCCATAGTTTTCAAAGTGTCAGGAATTGAATGCTCATGCCTCTAAGGGAAAAGAAAGGAACAAGCATTTATACAAGCGCCTACTATATACCTGTCACCGTGCTAAGAGCTTTTTATAGATATTGCTTCATTTGACACTCATAACAATTCTTGGAGGTAGGTGTCGCTATTACTCCCATTTCACAGATGAGGAAACTGAAGCAGGCATCGGTTAAGTGACTTGCCCAGCGTCACACAGCTAGTAAGTGTCTGAGGCTCCATTTGGATCTGAATCTTCCTGATTCCAGGCTCAGCCACACAGGTGCCTCTAGAGGAATCTCCTGTGAAATGTCTAGAAAAGGAGAAGCCAGATTGTGAAGGGTTTTAAATGCCAGATCAGGATGTTTATATTTTATCCTGGAGGCAGTAGGGAGCCATTGAAGCTTCTTGAGCTGAAGAGTGACACAGTCAGAGAAGTGCTTTAAGAAGATTATTTTGGCAACTGAACGAAGGATCGATTAGAGAGGAAAGACTGGAAGAAGCAGGCAGACGAATTAGGACGCTCTCGCAATAATCCGGATGTAAGGTAGCGAGAGCATGCAGAGCACAACTAGATCCCCAATGGTGTGAATAACGAATTCTATGGTCACACAGAGTTGAACCAGCACCATTGAAAGTCATAATAATATAAAAACACGGTCATTAGTTCTAGCTCATGTGGAAATATACTATGCAAATTCAAATGATGCAGGTACTTCTGTAGTGACTGTACCAGGCGAGAAAAGAGGACAGTCAGAGAGACAGAGTCGAGATGATCCTAACGTGTCTCCCCTCTCCAATCCATCCGTCCCCCCTCAGAGAACCCCTAAAGCTCAGCTTAGGGGCCACCTTCTACGTGCAGCCTTCCCTGACTCCCCCCAGCTGCTAGTGTTTGACAAATCACCTGCCACTGATGTTTCCTCTACTTTATATGGGTGTGTTATTCTCTCCTAAAGAATGTAAGCTCCCTGAGTGGAGGCACTGTCTCTTGCTTGTCTTTTTATTGTCCAGAATCTAACACGGGACCTAGAACATGAATGGCAGGTGATGAATGCATGTAGGCTGACTGATTGGAGGAAGAATTGGCAAGGCCTGGATGCTGGTTAGTCACGGGATTCGATGGACAAATGTCACAATTGGAGCCAAACATTCACTGGCTGAGCCTTCAGTGCAGATGAGAGAAAGGGAGGGCCCACTACCCCTTCCTAAGCCTCTGCAAGTCTCCCACTTACTCCCTACCAGATCACATGTAATCTCTCTACCATCTTGCATTCAATTCAATATTTCTTTAAGGGGCTGCACAGCTATCAGTCCCATGTTCAGATACGCCACAAGGGGTTCCCTTTTGTCCTCTTCATTCTGCCCATGCCTTAGGCCCAGAAGGATTGACCAAGCCATAAGGCTCCAGTGATTTCAAGTGAGTGTGCAGTCCTTAGTCATAGAGATCTGAGACAAGGATAAATAATCGCACTCAGGCCATCCCATGTAAACCAGTGACTATAGAAGAGAAGGAGGTCACACTCAGGTGATTATCAATGACAGCCTCAACAGGAAGAGAAAACCCCATTAAGTCCAAGGAGCTACACCTAGAGAAGGGACCAGAGAGAGCCTAGCACCTGGGGAGCTTCACATCTGGAGAAGAACACCTGGAGAGTGACTCCTGATAAACTTAGCACCTGGAGAGCTGCACCAGGCAGCTTAGAACCTTGCTGGCTGGGAGAGTGCCCTACCCCTGGAAAACTTAACACCTGAAGGGTGATACCTGGAGAGCTTAGTAGTAGAGAGCATAGAACTATAACAACTTCACCTAGAAAACTTAGTACCTGGACAGCTTAGTACCTAGAGAGCATGGAACCTTGAAAGCTTCACCTGGAACCTCTATCTGTAGAGTGACACGTGGAAAACTTAGCACCTGGAAGGTGACACCCAGGGAGCTTAGTACCCAGAAGGCTACATCTAGAAAGTGAAGCTTGGTAGTACCTGGAGAGCCGAATTTAGACAGCTGCTAACTGGAAGCTATACCTAGAAAGACCCTCGAGTGATACCCAGTGAGCATCTCCCAGAGAAGATAACACCTGGGGAAGGACATCTGGACAGGGACTGCTGGAGCACTGGACCTATACTGCACCAAGAGGTAAGGATAGGCAACTAGATGATGCAGTGGATATAGCCAGAGTCAGGAAGATCTGAGTTCAAATCCAGCCTCAGAGACTGGCTAGTCATGTGACCCAGGCAGCTCCCTTCATGTTGGTTTGCCTCAGTTTCCTCATCTGTAGAATGGGAATAATAACAGCACATACCTCCTGGGGTTGTTGTGAGGAGCAAATAAGATAGTATTTGTAAAGTGCTTAGTGAGGTACCTGGCACATTATAGGTGCTTAATAAAAACTTATTTCCTGGATAGCTTAGCTTCTGAAGAGTGATGCATGGAGAGTTTGGCACCTGGACCACTGGATGTACACAGCTTTACCTGGAGAACTGCACCTGTCGATGTATATGTATGTATACATAAACACATATATGTATATATACATGTAATATATTTATATACAATATATTATAGATTGCATAATTTATTTATATATTATATATAGACATACATATATATATATATGGATATGTGTGTATATATACATATACACATATACACCCTCAGACTTTCCAGATCTTGACCTTGCCCTTGAGATCAGCAGGTACCTGTCCTAAAAAGAGATATAAAACAGGACCATGTAATTTGGAACTGGAAAGGACCTAACTGACCATTAAGTACAACACATCCTCCCCCATTTTGCAGATGATGCAACTGATGCCTGAGTGGTTAAGTGATTTGCCATACAGAGAGCAAGCAGTTTTGGGGGCGTTGCAGTCATTTCAATCACGTCTGAGTTTCCATGACCCTAGAATGGTTTGCCATTTCCTTCTCTGGCTCATTTTACAGATGAGGAAAGTGAGGCAAATGGGGTTGAGTGACTTTCCTGGGCTCACACAACTAGTAAGTGTCTGAGGCTGGATTTGAACTTGAAAAGATGAGTCTTCCTGACTCCAGGCCTGGCGCTTTATGCACTATGGCGCCACCTAGCTGCCCCAAGTAAACAGTAGAAAAAAGATTTGAATTCAGGTCCTCCTGTCTTTTCTAGTGGTGATATTTTATGTTCTAGGGTCCCTTTCAGCATTGACATTTTATGTTCTAAGGACGTTTCCGGCTCTGACATTCTATGACCTGCAAGATTTCTTATTCAAGATAAACGTCTCAATACAGTTGCCATTCTCTCTTCAAGCTTTCCAATGCACCCGAGTGTACCTAGGATGCTACTGGTTCATTCTTCCCAGGTCGCTTCTTGCCCCTACATTTGACCATGCTTGGGATATACTCTCTATACCTTGGGGTAGGGCTACTTCAACTTTGTTGGAAATCTCACTGGCAACCTTTCCAGGGCAGCATGAGTTGCCTGGTGTGTTTCTGAACCACATTCATCTCTTGCTTGACTGCAAAATCCTTGGCAGGGCTGAATTCCTGAAGGGCCCCAGTACCTAATCTGTCCTAGGCTGAATCCAGATAGAGTCTTTTCCTTAAATCTCAGATCCAGAGTTCAAATTTGAACTGTTTGAAAAGGTGTGAATTCACCTAGTCCAGGCTTCTGGTCCCCACTTGCACAGGTCTGTCTTCTGGTATTGACTCAAATCCCCAACTTCTGAGTGAGGTCAGTAAGGAGATCAACCGTCCACTGAGCAGATCGCTGCTGACAAAGTTCCCAAACAATGGACCTTCCTTGCTACTGTAACCCTGAAGTTGAGAACTTTAATCAGAACAAAAGGCTCAATGGGACAACCCCAAACCTGAGAAGAGGTGAATTCACAACTTGTCAAGGGAAAGAGAAGCTAGCAGTCAAAGTGCACAAAGTGGTGGGCCTGGAATCAGGAAAACTGAGTGCAAATACAGCCTCAGACACTAGTTGTGTGACTCTGGGTAAATCTCTTCACCTGTCTGCCTCAGTTTCCTCAACTGCGAAATGAGGATAATAATAGCACCTCCCCTCCCAGGGTTGTTGCGAGGATTACATGAGATAACATTTTAAAGGGCTTGACATATAGAAGGCACTTGACAAATG